AGACGATGCACATACACTTACTTGCATTTCCAACCTCAGCCCACAGCTGCCTGGAAGACTGGTCTACAGACCCTCTCCATTTTCAGCAGTCAGCTTACTAGGAGAACTTGGAGACCAGCCAGGGCTGACAGTATAGCAAAAATATGCTATCTTGGAGGATGCTTCCTGCTCGTGGGTAAGGAATGGCAGCTCTGCATTTACCCCCAGTAGAGCAAGGAAATACTGAGCTGAAAGGTAGCAACAGCTTGAGGGAGGCAGTCTGTGGTGTTACAGTTGCAGGCAGGCAGCCCTAGTGGAGTCCAAAGTTGGACTTCCCCTGCAGGGAAGGGAAAATAGTTGAGTAGCAGCAAAATAAGGAAAACACCATATTCCTTTTGGCTTCATTTCCCTTGGAGCAGGGATTTGCTGAGGTGTAAAGGAAAGGCCTGAGAGAAGAAAGATCAAAAAGGATATGAAGCAGTTCTATTTCTTTGAGATAGAGGAAGTTTGGAGAGAAGCAAGGATTTAGAAAAGGTCTTCAGACAAAGCAGGGAAAGGGTATTTTTAAATCTTTCTGCAGAAATCGCAGTGTCCCATGTGCAGTTTGTCACCACCAGTCTGCACAGTCTTTAAACAGACATTACACAAAGAAGTGCCCACCTTCCACTTCACTGCTAGCTTCCTACAGCTGCACCTCTAAATGGTGAACTACCTTGCTGCTACTGTGAAGACTTCCACTCTTTATTACTTGTTCGTTTTTGAATATTCCGTAATTTCTTAATACACATAAATCCTGGGGTACAAGCTCTAAACAGACCCTCTCAAGCAAATCTCTGCTAGGGAGGTTAGTGCTCAAATCTTGGATACCCTGCACATACCTGCGCATCCAGGAGGCGCGGAGAGTCTTTTCAGGGCACTGTGCTGCGTGTTTACTATCTAATTCCTAAGCTGCAGTTCTAAAGTGCAGTTTTCAAAAATACTCGATACCCACTCGATCTGCTGGCACATCGCCAATCCACTAAAAGCAGCTGCTGGGATGTCTAATAAGATTGTGATCATCCTGGGACCTGTGCATTCAGAGATAACTGCTCCTCTGGGATTAACACCCAAGCAGTTAGCCCAGGCACTTGACCTTAAATGGTTGTTTTTTTTTTTTTTTTTTGGGGACACACTTAATGCTAGAAAATGGCTCCTGAAAAGCTTTCAATTTAGACTCAATCTAGGATTAAAACTACTCATTGCAGCAGAGGTTTGTTTCAAAGGCATTCAGAGCATGTCTCCTTAGAAATATCTCTGTTTTCTAATGTATCCTTACTACTTTTGCTGCTTTTAGCATGCGACTTAACGTTCATTTGTACCACGACATCTCATTACATAAGGCTCAATATTCTAAATCTCATGCTGTGCCGTTTTCAGCTGTCCTACTCATTTATCACCCTTTCTAAACCAGCGGTCTAGTTTTCAGCTAACTAGAAGAAGCTTCACCTCTTGCTTTTAGCAGATCAAAACCCTCAACTTCTTACAGAGGCATCAACAGTGATCTGGAGGAAAGATGATATTTGGAAAAATCTTCTTTCCGTTTTAAATGCCTCATTGTTGATGTGCATGACTGTTCATGTTCAGCAGTTCTTTTAATCACTTGCCATCACTGTGGTTAGAGATGTGCAAGATGTACCTGGAATGGCAGCAAGGCATCTCCTATAAGCAGCTGATGAATCTTCAAACAGTTTTTGTTGTACTTCTTTAACAGGCTTGTGTTATGCTCACTCTAACAACTAGCACTTGTTAGGGCACCATTTTCAGTTGCCCTGTAGATGATAGAGGATAGTCATCCTTGGGCAAGTGCCTAGTAAACAGCCTACTGTGGCAAAAACAAGGCTGTACAATTTCTCAGTTCTCTCAAACAAGGATCAGATGACCTTGTTCATCCACATATACATGAGCATTGCGAATTTCTTTCAAGCAAGCAAACATGTACAAAAGGACTATCCATCATTAAAGCTGAATCCAACTAGACCAGCTTGGAGCCGTACCTAGATATACAGGCCTGACCCAACTGCTTCCTTGCTCGTGTTAAGTTAGAGACGAGCAGCAAAGAAGCTTGGCTTTGTCCTTTACAGTTTTATAGGCATCTTGCAGCAATTTTGTTTCTTTTAAAACTCTTACATGCCCTAATAACGAAGCCTAGGAAAATCTCTGTACAGAAGACCGTTGTCCTGATGGATTGTGCTGAAGCCTTCTGCACATCATATTTGTCTTCAGCACAAGTAGAAGGGAACAGGAAGATGCAGGGAAATATGGAGCAGCAATCCTCACCTTGAACCCTGAGAGAATTCCTGAACCAATCCTTCTGCCGGGCACATGAAGGGTAAGCGGCCAGCACCATCCAGCACCACGCTGCCAGAACCACCTGGTGCCTTCTGTGCAGAGATGACAAACCTCGCAGGCAAAGGAAGGGTAGGAGCTGCTTATCTTGACTTTGGCAAGGTATTTGATGCAGTCTCCTCTGGCCAAAATGGGCCGTTATGGAGAGCACAGACAAGACGGGTGAAAGAACTAGGTGAACTGCTGCGCTCAAACTTTGAATCACTCATTTGAAATACCCAGTCACAAGCAGAGTACCTTGGGTTGACTGAAGCCAGTACCGCTCTGCATCTTACCCAGCTCGCTGTTGGAATACACAACCCAGCAACTTTGCAGGTTATACCAAACTCAAACCGTGGGTAGACTGGCTTCACACTCAGTGGCTGGAGTGACAGGAAGAGGGAAAATTCACCAAGTTCAGCCCTGCCCTTGGGAAATCAACCCACGCAACAACACACCGGGATCACATTGGCTAAAAAGCACCTTTACAGAAAAGGACTTGGAGGGTAACAGTAGACACACTGATGATCGGTCAGCAGCACATCCTTGGAGTGATAAAAGCCAACCATGTATCTGGCTGCATAGTAAGAAAATGGCCAGCAGGTTAAAAGGAGTGACCATTCAGCTCTCTTCAATACTCCTAAGGCCACATGTGGAGTTTCATACCCAATTTTCAGCTGCTCAGCACAAAAACAGGTGTTGACAAACCCCAAGCAAGCCGAGCGGAGGGCCTGCTCAGCCTGAAAGCTAAGGCTGCAGGACCTTACACAGTCTTCAGTTATGTAAAGGATGAAGATAGAGAAGAGGGACCCAGATTCTTCTTGAAGAAAACAAGAGAGGCAACAAAAAATTGCTGCAAGGGAAACAATGTGAGACAAACATGTACATGAGAAAATATTTGCAGGGAACATGGTGCAGAACAGCAGCAAATGCCCAGAATGGCTGTGGAGTCTCAAAACTTGCCCCAAAACCTCGATCTACTTTCAAAGTCCACCCTTCTTTGATCGGGAACCTAGAGGACACCTCCAGAGGTCTTTCACTACACACCTCTATTAATAATTCTAAATACTGAAAATATCTGTGCAAGCTTCACGGCATGGCTGCTGAAGCACAAGTCTACTCCTGTTAGCTTACGCTATGTGACTGTATCCTCAAGCTCTCATGATCAAAGAGGCCAGACTGCACACGCATTCAGGTATGTCTGCTCTGCAAAACATCACAAATCCTACAGGTAACAGTATTAAAGTTCAAGAATGGAGTTTATCTCCATGCAGATAAAGCTGCCTAATTCAGAGATTGGTTCTTAAAAATCACTAAAAGCCACATGTTTTTTATAGAATATATAACCCAAGCTTTAGCCATTGTTTTTTGCTCCTCAAATCAGCCCGGGTCATTTCACTGACCTTTTATGTCAGAAACACAAAGACGAATAACACAGCTGTTAGTATCCTTTGTAGCACACAGCACTAGGACACATCTTGCTAGATACATAAGTGAAAAGATTTTTGTATATACTAAAATGTTGCATCCAAAATATATGAGAATCTTTTCCACAGCTCTGGTAGGCATGTATAAAAATTATTCCTTAGCTTAACTTCAGTTTCTTTTCATTTGTTTTATGAAAATTTCAAAAACTCAAGATCTAGAGACAATACTGCAGCTATAACCTTAGCTTTTTAAACCACTAACTACATCTCTACAGATTTTTCCAAAAGTTAACATTTATTCAGTTTATGCTACCAGTCATCTTTTGAGAGAAATTACGCTTTTAAAAGGAAATATTTAAACAATAAGATGTAAAGCTAACAATGGTTTTGGTTTTCAGTTTATGAACACCTTCTGAATGCAGATGGGACACATCCATAACTACAAAAGATGGGATCTACTTCTCAGAGTGTAATAACAAAGAGCCTTTCAATGTGAAAACATGAAACAAACTACTAAAGCTGTGCCAAAATTCCATTATTTGCACATTTCTTTCTGTTGTTTACTGCTTTCTATGCTTGCTACAAGCAAAATGATTGAACGCTGTGTCCTCTAGCCGTTTGTTTCCGTCTCATCGTGACTACTGCTACTGGTAACATTCTCCACATCTCCTACTCAGAGAAACAGGAACATTCATGCAGATTTACTAACAGATCTCTTTCCAGTTGATGGTGCAATTACATATAACAATGACTTTATCAAGACAAAGCATGTAAGAATGGTTAAGAGAATATGCTCAATGGTTAACAGGGTATGCTAACCATATTTTTTCTGTTATGTCATGGATTCTAGGAGTCGGGAAAGAATACAGAACACTGGGATTCTTTAAGAAATCTTAAACTAGTCTACTTCTGGAACTATTAAACATCTGTGACAGGAAGTCTATCCACTCTATACAGGGAAACATTTCTGTAGTACCATCAATTTGAAGGAAAATAACATCTGTTTAAACCAGTTTACCAAAACTAAAAGTACATTCAGAATAATAATAAAAAAAAAAAGTAACTGCAGGCAAAAAGAAGGTATGTCTAACTATAGGATAGACTCCTTCATAAATAAGTCAACAAATAACACTCTTAAATTTGCTAGGGTGCCCATTCAGCCACACGTCTAACCACAGTTTGCTTTTAATACCATATGAGTCTGAGTCTTTTAATACCAAGGCACAGAAATCAAGGGTCTGTGCCCAATTTATACTAAAAGATTTCTAAGACCCTGTATCTTCTGCCCTCCGTCTTAGCTCTTTTCCACGTCTTCCTCTTCCCAGGTAGCAGGCACAAATAAAACATCCTGATAAAACTTCATCTACCTGAGCTTTTTTTTTTTTTTTTGATGGATAATTCTGCCAGATAAATAAAAAAACCCCAAAACTAGAGAACGAGAGAAGGGACACAGAACAGTCAAGACAGAACACTTTTGTTTTTGTCAATATTTTTTTAAATCCCAGTCCAGCTCCTAGCAAGCCTGGACACTACTTACAACACTCCTAGAACTGCAGAAGGATGGAAACACAACGGGGAGCGAGTGGAGAGGGGGACGAGGCAGCCCAGGGGCCGGCTCCACATACAGAAAGCCAGCGTGGACTGGAGTCGTTAAGGCCCAGATGCCCCACTAACAGGAACAAACCCAAACACGAAGGTCGCACATGAAATGTATTTACCTATTTAAACACAGGCAGCTGGTCAGGCTAGAATGGGGAAGGTAACTGCTAATTCCTTGTACTACAAGGAAGGAATGGAGTAAAAAAACCCAAGCCCACGGGCAGGTTTTTGCTTTGTGAACCTCTGTCTGTGCTGCTGGTTAACAGTGGTAAGTATAAAAAAATCAAAGAAAAATAATCTATTTATAGAACAAGTCAGTAGTCTGAGACATTTAGAAAAAAGTAAAAACAAGTCCTCCTTTAAAAATGGATTTACTAAAACAACTGTCACCCAGGATGACCCCAAGCCCTCTGGTCCTCTGGCAAAGCCAGGGGCATTTTCAAGCCAGACCTGTTGCTGCTTGTACACTGGTACACATCCAGCAAAGCCAGCAGGGAGGGCATCTGCGCTGCCAACAGTATCTGCAGATTGCTTGCTGGTATCGCTTGAGGCCATGCCTGTAGCCTGGTGAGACTGGAAATAGTTGAGTGAAACTTTTCACAGAAGCACATGTCAGTGTAACCTCTGAGGTAAGTGGGCTGTCTTCTTTCCTTCCCATCCCTGCGTACAGATCAGAGAAGCTGGTGCCCTGGGTGCTCTACCTCCTTGCCAGCTTCATCCTGCGTGAGACAACTTTAACGTGCAGGAGTGCAGAACTCTAAGCAAAGCCCAGAAGAGGAGAGGGCATCCCTTGGAGAAAGGGAAGCACTCTGCTTTTCCCAAGCTCTCGACATCTTCATCAATATTTTCTTGCCTTCCTCTGGACAGGAAGATCAATTGTCCCCCACTAAGAAAGAATTTTTGCCTAGTGGAGTAGGGTGGGGTGCTTTTTTTTTTTTTTTTTTTTGTAACCAGAACCTTTGCACCTTTGCTGATTTCTGAGATCATGAGCTCCTCTGCCCTTTAACTATAAAAGAGAAATTAAAAGAAATTCATCCACTTGCTCCCATCCTTATCATGTAGTGTTAGCTGCCTTGCTATGGAGGCAACTTAATTCTCCCAAGACATTGCCCTGCTTGCTGCGTTGGCATGGAGGAGGCAAAAGACAGCCTTCAAAGTCACCTCCTGCAGGTAACCACGTAGGGCTAAACGCTCCAATCTACACCCACCAATTGCATGCCAACTCCACTGCCAACATGTACGTGAACACCCTCAAGTGTCTAATCTAAGCCTCGGGTTTGCTCAGTCTCTGAGAGCAACAGCCACACTCACAGATGGAAATAAGTCACAACATTGGCTGTGGCTCCTGATGAGGCGGTGTCTGCATAGGTGAGTCGGTACCACTGTGCCTTGACTTTCCCATTGTACCACAGAAGCCAGCTGTACGGAAGGGACCAACTCTGCTGCAGGTCTGTACATCCTTGGAAGTGAAGCTGAGTGGCTACATTAGCTTCAAACCCTCCTTTTCTGTGGGGTTTTCAGTGGTCCGTTTCCCAATGAGTTCCAGACATCAAGTAGCTGCTAACTTGTCTCCTTAAGGTCTTCCATTGGTAGTTTGTAGCTCAGTAAGAAAGGGGGAGGTGGTGCATGGGCAGGGCTACTTGACCCCTGCATAGGTTTCTTTGCACAGTTTATACAGATGTAATCCTCGTTCTCAGCCATTTCTGGAGAGACACCAACACAAACCTGATGAAACCACTCATCGCAGCCACCATCACACTGTACCCAGTCTACCTGCAAAAGATCAGCAACACAGAGGACGTTAAGGCAGAAAGAAATGGCTTCTACAAAGAAAATATCTGCTATTAAACCCACCTGACATACCTAAAACCCAAAAGCTTTTAAGCACAAATTATGTCTGTGTCCCCATTTTAACCGGGTACTTAAATTAAAATAGTATTACTCTTCCAACAAACCTTGCTCTTTTCACATCTTTAGAACATCACAGTTATAACAAACACTACTGTAATAAGGAAGATGACATTCAGCTTTTCTCAAATAAAAGACCTCACATTTAAACCAGAGTAAGAACCTGCTCAAGGGCAGCTGCCTCAGTGTAGCTGATATTCTGCAAATTCACACCCTAACTTCCATCCCCCGCTTAGTTTGCACACAAGTGGTGGCTTTGGCAACATTCAAGCCTGATTACTGCCTTTGACTAAAAAACAGCCACATGGCCTCAGGGGCTTTGCTACCTGTTGACTAGCTAGATATTGATGGATAGATATCACTAAATCCATCACTACATAGCTAGCCATTGATTGCCAAAAACACACACAAACTATTGCTTCGAGGTCTCAGAATATATATAAGCTAAAATAGTTTAGAGTCAAATCTGCTACAGAAGAAGCAGAGAAAGTCACAAGTAAATTAAAAAATGAATACGTAAAGAAAAAAAAAAAAAGCCAAACCACTAGATTTATATAATTTTCTGAGTAAAAGTACATGTTGAAAACACTGATTATTTATCTTCCACAACAAAAGTAAGGAACTCAAGGTCACAGATCCCTCAGCATACAGCATCATAGTTCACAGACTGTATCCCAAAACTATGGAAGATTTGTTTCATTTAGGAGCACTGGACATCCCGCTTCTGCTAAAAAGTACATTGGAGTCAGGACCAACTCTTGCTGAAGCACAAGATTTATTGAATCAGGCAGCTCATATTCCATATAACCAGATGGGGGGGGAAAAAAAAATACAAAAGACCACAGCTTGAAGAGACTTTGGTTCCCAATCAAGATAGGTATGAACCTGGAAAATGTTATTGGAATCTAAAGCAGCTAATTTTATACTCTATTATTTACTACATTTGCACATCTACACAACTACTACTCATTCTTCTCTCATCTCAAATCACACCACTTTTTTGTTGCTCGTGTTGTTTAACCTTCTTAGTAAAGTGCCTTGAAGTTTTTGATTTCTCATGACCCTGCTTGTGCCAGAATTAAGCAAAAACTCACCTTGTCCTTGCAGGGCCTTTGGCAGTTCTGCGCAGCACACACAGCGTTTTCATCATCAGACTCCTCTGCTCCTGACCAGTCATACTTGGAAGGAATATCTAGCACCTTCTTCTCTCTTTTTTTCTCGGTGCTCTCCTTCACGAGTTCCACCTTTGCCACAACTGCCTTTTCGCGCTTCTTTTTCCGCTCCTCCTCTTTAGCCAATTTCTTTGCCAGCTTGTTCAGTTCCTTTGTCTTATCCATGGTCAGTTTTAGCTTCTTCTTCTTGGGTTTTTCCAGTTTCTTCAGCTCTTTAGATTTTTGCTTCATATCGCCAAAGAACTGCTCTGCTCTCTCCAGCTTTCGTTTCCGTTTCCTCTCAGAAGAGTCTCTCCCTCTCATTTTCAGTGGCTTTTCATCCATGCTGTCATCCTTCATAGAAAGGGTGAAAAGAAGGCTGTATTTTTTCCCCAAACACAAATTTTCACATTTTGTAAGCCTGAGCTTTTGAGGGATGTACCCTCTACCATTCCCTACCCATTATGAAGAAACTCATCCAACCACACACATATGAATTCTAAACTAAAAAGTGCTGACTTCATCATCACTATACTAGAAAAGAAAATCATAATTGATATCCACTATGTAAAAGGTTACTGAACCAAAAATGCCTAAAGGAAAAAGTAAGGAGACATGATAAGCTGTTATTACAAATTCCTTCTCACATTCCTTTTTATTGGAAGTTAAGATTAATCGTTAGATGTCCTTGTTTCTTTCTCATCCTAGATCAGTCTTGCTTGTAATTATTATTCAGAAAAAGTAATTGCTATTCTGGAGATTAAGAGACCAACCAGTGAATTCTTAAAAATGAACTCAATCAAAAAAAACAAAATAATATATCCATTACTTGAACAGCTCCCAAACTGACAAAACTTCCAAATATCCTAGTATCATTAACAGCTCTTAAATAGTAGATTCAAACCAGACATGGGCTTTAAAACTGGGAAACCCCATCACTGCAGGTAACAATCACAGCAAGTTGTATTTGTATCTAAAGGGTACATATGTACTGGCCCTTTGTACAAAACCGTTTCAATTTCAGTCAATCCAGCTACATTAACCTTTTTTATATATTAACCTTAATAATATTATTAGACTGCAATCTAAGAAGGAAGAAATCATTTCATTTATTATACATTACTTTAAAAAGCCACTCTGCCTAAAAACAAGTCCACTGAAGGTTATTTTACAAAATTTACATATTTTGCCTGTAAATATAACAGTACTCAATTCAAAATGAGCATTTTTGGCCAAGTAAGTACTCACAAGGGTTGACCAAGAAATGTTTTTTTTCCCCCCTCCAAAGCTGTACTTTACTATTAATATAACAGTGTGGCATGGTATTTTTAAAGTACTATTGGCTGGCATTCAAGCTATTTTTCAATCATTTCCAATCCCAAAACATTATCTATCGTAATCTGTTATTAAGAGCGTCATGTGAGATACTTGACCCAAAACATGCCAGTGCTGTGATTTTCTGGGAGTATAGTCCACCTTCTACAACCATCCTCACATTTTGGCGACATCTCTGACAAATTCAAATATATAGCTGGTGCCCTGGGAATGAGACTGCTGATCACAATGCTTGTCTAACTGCACTGTTCAGCATGTAATCTCTATCAGAGGCTACTGCACACTACCAAAGAGTCAAGAAGGAATCATCTTTGATATAGCTGCAGTGCAGTTGATTAGCTCTGTGGTCATGCAAGGACAAAAGTAACCCCCGATCTTCAGCTGACAGAGGAAGCATGAGCTCCAGTGCAGCTCTTCACCCTAACAGTTTACTTACTCTTCCAGCACACATCTTATTCACACACGTCACTTAGCCACTGCATGAATGAGGCTCAAGTGATTTGGACTGAACCTCAGGAGCAGCACATAAGCTCACTTCATTCTTACTCACTTTCAACTCAGTCAGGAAACCAGCACTTCTTCACAGTATATTAAAATAGAAATCGTTATGTCTGTGCTGCACTGAGGAAGAACAGGAATCTTGCAACATCTATTCCCAAAACTTTTTTTTTTTTTTTTTTAATTAAAGGACAAAAAATGTTATTTCATCAGCAACAGCAAAAGTTTGGCTAAATAATTTTTGTAATTCCTTTTCAGAACAGAATCAATTTTTTGGATCTGTTATTCTCTGTAATCTGCTTTTCCTTGGCTGAAACCCCAAAATGAGCTAAGCATTCAACTACTGAAGAGTATATCACAAACCCCAAAATATTAATATGTTAAGATCTGGGGCTTTTTTTTCCCCAATATCAGCACAGTTCAAGTCCATACCTCCATGATATGAAGGAACCTGTCCTCAGAAGGTGGGTGAGTAGCCTGTAAAATGCGCCAGATGTGCTGAGTTTCATCCAGTGACACCTCTAGTAGATCTCCTACCATCATTAGATCTTCCAGTTGAGCCTTTGCTCCAGGTGACAGCTCCAATACAGGGGGCTCTAAACTG